AGGGTGTATGCAGTATGCTGTCCTGCATGGAACCCCAACTTGTCGCACCCCTGCAATCGCAACTCCCTTACGTGCTCAGGCAGTATGGTCAATAGCCTTCTGACGGCAAGCGACGTATCATCCCAAACCCACGCTGCCAGGCCTACTCGCACCCGCCGCATTGTCCGGAATGGCAGCGAGAAGGACTTGCTTTCCTGCCTGCTTTTAATTTGATACGTCCCATGTCTCATAGATCACAGTCGCATTGTCATATGGAATTGTGAAGAATCAGCGAAGCCGTGCTGCCAACTGCAAGCTTCATGTTCCAACCATTCCACCTGCGGCTCTTCGGAAGTTTGCAGTCACTGACTAAATCGGGTTGCTTCGTGGAGAATTTGATGCTGGACATCTCGAGGCTTCCAGGGAGGCTTCACCCGGCCGAGCCACGCCACCGCCATCCCTTACACCACTTCCACCAGATGGAACCCCAGGGCATGGAGCTCATTTGCATCTTGAACGACCAACAAAAACCATCGAATCGGAAACCCCAAGTCAAGTAAGTCTGCATAAGTTTGTTCCATGGTGCTTATTCATTATTCATCCTGCTGAAATGTTGCGGGAACCTCCGCACAAATCGCACCAAGGCTTTCAAGCCGTCCCGCAAGTGCCTCTGTGCTGACGCCAGTGCGGCATAAACCCCTAGGCCAGGCATGTTCAGGTTCCTCTTACTCTTAGATCTCTTCGTACATGAAATGGTCTGGCTGAGTCTACTTAAGTCTAAAATGTGCCTTGCTGGGCAGGCCTGCTTCCAAGGAAGGCGTTGCTTCCACCTGCACGGTTCCAAACCCAATTGCGGGAGCCGGACAACTCTTTACATCTAACTTGCCATAGATGTGCAGATCACAACAAATGTTGATGTCTCTTGCAGACCACCGCTAGGACCGCTAGCATGGATAAAGTACGACCTGTTGTGCTTGATACCTTCGGCAGTCGTGTACATTTGCAGTTGCTGGCTTGAGGCAAGCCCAGATTTCTGCAGTCGAGCGGAATGCTGTCCAGGCGGCACATTTCACGCTTTCTCGCGGCATCTCTCAACCAGGATCTGCAAGCTGCAAACAAAAACCTTAGTACGTCATCATGGATGTGTTTCCTCCCCCTGTGCCCCCTCCCCCCGGCTGAAGGCCCTCAGGAAGCATAGTGAGACGGGACTCTCCGTTGCTTTCATATGCTGCTCCACTACCACTTCCTGTTTACATTCCGTGAGTTTAACGAGACTCTGCCGAATGCTGCAAAGCATCGAGCGCTTGCTGAGTGACTGCTAAGGCCTTGCCGAGCCACGATACTGTAGGTTGAGGGTGCCGGGGTGATGTTGGGGGAAGGCCAACAAACCCGCATGCGAAGTTTGCCTGCAGGGAGACGCATCATGAAAAAGGTCCGTGAGCAACCGGCAGTTTCACCGCGGTGTGTTGTATCGAAAACCCAAGCACCAAAGGACTCGTCGAGCCTCCCAAGCGAACATAGTTGCCCTGCGATGGTAATCTGTCATTCATCTTTATGTATCATAACCCGCCGGCACATGGCCAAGCCACAGTGATCCGGCAGATGGGCACCGTGAAAGCCAGCGCAGCCCAAACAAATTTCGCTGGTCATGATTGGACATGCATTGCTCGGCGTCATGCACCATCTTCTGGCATGCCAGCGTCCCAGTTACGAATTGCCAGCAGCTCACACGCTGCAGAGTTTCATCTGGCTTCTCATGGCTCAAGAAGGCCAAGCAGGGAAAGCACTGGTCGGGATGGCATTGCCTCAAGCAGAGGCACCTGGACTTTTAAGATTGTTCACATGCATGCTGACGTGCGATGGTCAAGCACGTGTCGTGGTGTAAGCAACGCGGCTTCTCCACCAAAGCCAAGGTTAATAAAGTTTCTGCAGCGAGTTTGTAGTAGCTAAGTGGATGCTTGGAAGATACCACCTGTGAGTTGCGTGGCGATCAGGACTGTTTAGCAAGCACACCTGCCGTGTTGGCAGGTGTTCAATTTTTCTTTGAATTTAGAACAGCTGCACTGCAGTACTGAATGGCTGGCTAAGCTAGACCCTTAAAAAAATGCCATGGCATCAGGGCAACCTAGGCAGATCCTATAAACCCTGCTGGCTGATTACTTCCGCAGGTCATGCAGATTACGTGAAGTCTTGCGAAATGACTCATGACTGGCAGGCATATGACTGACCCAGCTTCTGATGGCTGGCCCGCGGGCAAGGCATGCTGGGCTTGCGGAATGAAAACAACAGTTTGACAATATTTGGCATCTGCTATTCGACTCAGAGCTCCGTGCCTTGCTGCAGCGGCGAATTCCTGAAATGCGACCGATGCAACAAATGGCACAACTCGTCGTTGTTTGGTCGCTGTTGTGGGTCAAAGTAGATCCGGTTTGCTTATTTACTTGGAGTAGGTATACCCGAAACCTGACTTCTGCACATTTACAGTCTTTTCGTTTTCGCCACAGTGACAACTCCAAACCTGTGACGATCCAAAGTACGGTCAAGCAGACGTCCCACGGGAAATGCGCATTTTCCGAGAGAGATTTGAAAAACAGAGTTTGGTACCAGGCACGCAGGCCACGCGAAACACCCTGCAACCGCGCACGTGCAGAACATCGAAAGAACCATGAACACAAGATGTCCCTGAGATGTGACATGCTGTTTGTGCCACGCCAAATACAAATCCAGCATGCAATGCTTCGCACGCGTTTACAAACGCGTCGGCGTGGCCGTGGTCGCCGTCGTAGCTGCCGCTGCCGCCGCCGCCGCTGCTGCTGCTGTTGTTGTTGCTGTTCTTGCTGTTGTTGCTGCTGCTGTTGCTGGCTGCTGCTGCGGCGGCGGCTGTGGCTGCGGCTGTGGCTGCGGCTGTTGCGGTGGCTGTTGTGGCGGTTGCTGTTGCTGTGGATGTTGTTGGTTGCCGTGGCTGTTGTTGGTTATCGTTGGCTGTTGTTGGTTATCGTTGGCTGTTGCTGGTTGTTGTTGGTTGGTTGTTGTTGGCTGTTGTTGGCTGTTGTTGGTTGTTTGTTGGCTGTTTGTTGTTCCTAAACCCCTTTGGACTTGTTTCACTGGCGCACAGCCCTCAGCGACGTCCCGCTGATGGATTGGAGTTGGTGGGCACACGTTTGTGGTGTGGCTTGCAGGTCTTCGAAGCTGCGCCACAAGGTTGGCAGACACCGCACTACTTGCACAGGCGCCATTTGATGGACACTCCCCTGTAGGCTTCACTTACGATGACTTGATATTCATGCCGCAACCATCCACTTTCGACGCCTCCGAAGTCGACTTGTCTGGCTGCATCACAAAGAACATCAGGCACGGTGAACATGTTTGTTGCCAGCCAGTATTCACGGTATGCATGCCAACTTGAATCGAGAAGCCCAGGCTGAAATCGTCCCGCACATAGTTCCCAAGTGAGCCTGTGGACTGGCAGCTCGTGCGTGGAAACCTGAGTGCCTGAGGCCGATAATTGGCAGCCCGTCGGATACGGTGACCGATGCGAACATGGCCATTGCTTTGGCGCTTTCAGGGGCCATGGGCATCATCCATGCCAATCAGGACATCCAACGGCAGGCTGTGCCCGAAAACCACTTGACGTTTGCTTGCGCTCTTGTGTTCATCTCAACATGTGGTAAACCAAATGCCGCTGGCTTGACCAGGTTTCCATGGTGCAGGCGGTGAAAAGATTTGTCAGTGGATTTGTACTGGAGCCTGTGGTCATGCGTCCGACCCAAAGTCTGGCGGATCTAGACAAGCTGAAAGCAGCAACTGGAATTTCTACGGCCTCTTGGTGGTGCAGAAATCTGCTTTGGAGTCTTGTGTGCTTCCCATTCTTGCAAAATGGCTCATTTACAACTTGTCTCTAGCACGTCATCTTACGAAGGTAGGAATGTGCATGTATCGTCTTGCATCGTCTAATTTGTACCCGCCACCTGCTGGTCACCACAGCTGGCCGTTGGCACTTTGCAAAGTGTTAGGCTGCTACGTGGTTTTATGTTGCTCTACCTGGAGTTCCAAGGTACCAATAACAGACACTGGTGGACTGGGTGGGGAGCTTCTTGGCATTGTCGCTTGGGACAAAACATGACGATGTGCATTGCATGTGCGATCATGTACGCGTGTGTGAGGGGGAGAGGCTCGAGCGCGCGCGCGCGCGCGCGCGCGCGCGCAAAGGGCATGCTGTGGCATTGTGCCATGTCGCTGGCTGAAAGTGTAGGAAGCTGCCAAGGTAACCGCACGAGATGCAGATCTGTGTGCAGATCGGCGCGAGTATTTGTCAAGAGTCTTAGCTGCGCGAGTGCAGCAGAGCCCAAGAGATCTTTTGAGGCTTAAAGACTGAGCGGGATCATCCCAATCAGGCTTTCTGGTGCGCAAGATACTGGCTAACACTCTCCTTATCTGCTCAGCGAATCACAGGCTGCAAGCCTACAAGCTTAGGAGTGATGACCGAAAAGGTTGTGACAGCAAGAGAGCCGCTGTCGTTCGAAGATGCCCTCGACACATTAAAGCGAGCGAAGGAAGCCTCTGCATGTGGGTGATTCATTCGACAGTTGTGCCAACGCTTTAGGTTATACTGGCCCTATGCACCTGCAAGCTCTTTCCAGTGTCAGGTTGGAAAGCTACTCATCCTCAACTCTGAAGATCAGCTTGTGTCAATGGTTACCCGCAGTGATTTGAAAAAGGTCAGAGACTTTCCAGGCCTGGCCCTGCCCCCACACATCTCCACACATTGCTCTCAAGTCTTGCATTTCGACCTTCCCCTTGGCCCAGATATGTCGCGAGACTTGAGCGGCAAGCTTCTGGTTGGCGCCGCAGTGCCAGCGTTGCCCGATGGCTCCCAGGACAGCCTCCGGCATACTGGCGCCATCTGGCGCCATCGGAGACCTTGGCTGAATGCAGCTTTGCCGTCCGTTTTGGTCTCAGGATTGGCCTCGGGCGAGCGCCTTAGCAGAGGCTCATACAGCAGCGGTCGGGGTGGGGGAACT